CTACTGAACTGGTTATTTAAAACTGTTTTCTAACTAATGATGTAATAAAATAGTTGTATATGATTAATTATTTTTAGCGGGGGAGGGGGGTTCACTTTAATAAATATTCATAATCCTTTAAGTGATAGTTATGTTGTGTCAATTTAGAAGTAAAAAATAAAATTCTAATAACTATTAAATTCCTGCATTTACAGCAACAAAACAGAATGAAAGTGGGTGGATACCTTTGTAACCCCTTGTATATCCTATGGTACATCCTATTTAGCAGTGGTTCCCAACCCTGGTCCCTGAGGAACACCATCCTGCATGTTTTAGTTGTTCCTCTGCAACACACCTGATTTGAATTAAAGGGTGATTAACAGGCTTCTGCCGAACTTACAGAAGTAATTAAACCACAGAATCAGGTGTGTTGGAGCAGAGAAACAACTAAAATATGGAGGATGGTGTTCCTCAAGGACCAGGGTTGGGAACCACTGCTATTTAGTATAATACATTTCTGACGAACTAATTTCAGACTATGACTAAATCTCTTATTGCTTTTTCAGTCCTGCAGCACTGACCTAGAGGGTCTTTTAAAACCACAGATGTTGATGGAACCACAACTTTATTAAAGTCTTAAAAGTTTCTCCTAAAATAAATGTATTGCTTTAGGCTGATATTCTGGTTTACAATGTTTCTGTCATCATCTTTCTCTTCCAGAAGTACATTGTACCCGCCGCGGCTATTTTTAAAGGTGAAGGCATAGCGCTGTTGAACAACATGCGAGTCTATGGCAGCATCTGTCTCATCCTGATGGCCTTACTGGTCTTTGTGGGCGTTAAATATGTGAACAAACTGGCTTCCATCTTCTTGGCCTGTGTCATCATCTCCATTGTTTCCATCTACATCGGAGCTTTTGTCTCTGCCTTCAAACAGCCGGATTTTCCGTAAGATTTCCTGTTCAAGGTTACTGGGTGGACCAGTTGCTTTTCTTCTAATCCTGACTGTCGCCTGGACTTTTGTGTGCAGTGTGTGCATGCTGGGGAACAGAACAATCAACGGCCATGATATTGAAGACAACTATTGTAGTAAAACCATCTTAGTGCAGACAACAGAGAGTATTGACAGTAACTTCACAGCTAATTATGGTGGGTTGATGCATCCTGTTCATAGTCAGGAATCTTGAAGTGTTGAATCTGTTCATCTTTCCTGATGTGTATCATTGCTTTCTTCAGACAACAGCACAGCTGGACCAACATATGTCCCCCCCATCTACGGCCCTGCTGTAGTGGAGACAACATTTCTGTGGGGACATTTCTGCAGTGGCCCAGAACTCAACGCATCCTGCGACGAATACTTCACCTCCAATAATTTCTCTGAGATTAAAGGGATCCCTGGTCTGATCAGTGGGGCCATTTTAGGTACAGTGATTGTGTTTGAAGTTTTTTGACTGCAACAGTAAGTGATAGCTGTGGCATGAGACTGATCATGCAAACCGGGGGCTGCACAATTTATCTTAAATGTATTATCATTATGTCTGTGTCACCAAGAATGGCTTGGGCTTCAATGAGTCATAGGCTCTTAGATTATAAAGACTGAGGTTCATGCTTTTCTAATACTGTGCAACCTTTTTTACAGACATGTAATGCTTTGTATCTATAAAGTCCTGATATAAAAACAGAATGAAACTCTGAAGATGAGATTATTATTATAAACGTACAATTAATTGTTTTCTTTTTAAATGAAAGCAACTCCTGTGTCTTAAAGGGATAGATATTTTCAAGTGATTCTCTGTGGAAAAGGTAAAAATGCCTAATTTGAGGCAGCTGTGGCTGAGTGGTTAAATCGGTCTTCCTACAATGGGAGTGTTGGGGGTGTGATTCCACCAGCAGTCACATGTTGAAGTGTCCTTGGGCAAGACACTGAACCCCTCATTGCCTCCAATGTGTGTCCCATCGGTGTATGAATGTGATAAAACACTGATTAGTCTCTACAGAGTCAGATTAGTTTTTGTAGAGATCTAGTAGAGAGCTGTATGAATGTGTGTGTGTGGAGGTAAATTGGGCACAGAATGTATTTTAAAGAGCTTTGAGTATCTTGATTAGATAGAAAGGTGCAATGTCCATTTACCATTCCATTTTTTGTTTTTTCATTTACCCTTTATTTATACAGGTAGTCTCATTGAACCACGAGAACTCATTTTTCAAGAGAGACCTGTTTAGGGAGCAGATGGGGGTTAAGGGCCTTGCTCATGGGCCCAGAGCGGGGCAAATGAGGGTGGAGACAGGTGTGGGTGCTTCACCTACCCTACCCACATTTTTGATGTTGTCGGGGCTTGAACCGGCGATCTTCCGATCACAGGCTCACCTTCTCTAACCTCTGTGCCACCACTCCCCCATTTAATATCTTACCTGTTGTAGATAGCTATTTGAGCGATATCTCTGAGCGAGCTCAGTTTGGCGAGAGTTTATTTCCGACTGGATTGATGAGCTCATGGCTAGTCTGAGCAAGGCAAGGACCAAAAATAATAACAGTCTTCAAATTTTTAGAGTGGTGTAAAACCTTTTACATTGTTGCTAGTTTTACATTACACTTGCATTTAAAATTTAATCACAAATAACAGCAGCTAGCTGTAGCAATTCCTGTGCAGCTTGGGGCTCTTCCAGCAGAAATTCAGTATTTCTGCCAAAATGAATGTGTAATGTGACGTTAACAGTAGTATAAATGTTTTTAACATTTGCATGAACTGGGAAATTTTAAATATTGGAGTTGTTTCAAGAGGGCAGAAATCCAGTTGAAAAGTGGGCCCACTCGGACTAGCAGTTAGCTCGTCAATAATGTACAGACTGACCCATATAAATAGATAAATCAATACGTACTATTAATGGGCAGAAGTTGACTTTCTTCCTAACAGAGAACCTTTGGAGCTCCTACCGCAGCAAAGGTGATGTGATTGAGAAGCGCTCACTTAGCTCCTCCAACGTTGGACATCCAGCCTCCACCCAACAACCATACGTGTTCACTGATATCACAACCTCCTTCATGGTGCTAGTCGGCATCTTCTTCCCCTCAGTCACAGGTGCACACTGTTCAGTCAAAATTTACTTCAAATTCTTCGCAAATTCTAGATTTTGCTTTTGTTTTCAAGAAAAGTGTCATAGATACAGAATTAAGTTGTCCTGGCCTGTTTTGCTGTTTGCTTGATTGCAGTGGTTTTGTTTTCTTGCAGGAATCATGGCTGGTTCTAATCGGTCGGGGGATCTGAAAGATGCTCAGCGCTCCATCCCTACCGGAACCATCCTCGCCATCCTTACTACCTCTATCGTCTGTATCCTTTATGTTGTGTTATAATCTTGTTTCCAAAGAGTCATTAAGAACCATAAAACACAATTTAACACATTTTCAGTTCCAGCTCATTGTTACATATTTTATTTAATTTTTTTAAATATCCTTTTTTTTCTTTTCTTTGTGTAGTTTGACATTTTACTTGCTGCTGTTTTATAGTACTAAAACCGTTGAAGCTTTTGTTGTATGTGGTGTTTTCCTGAGCCCCGTCCTTCCAGATCTGAGTAATGTTGTGTTATTTGGCTCCTGCATCGAAGGGGTTGTCCTCAGAGACAAGTAAGTGCATCTGCTTCAGTGTTTTTTTTTTGTTTTTTTTTTTTTACGTAAGCTTGATGTGTGAGTCAAAAACACACAGGTTTTGTTGTATTGCATCATTAAAAACAGCTGCCTAAACTAAATGTTGTTATCCCTGCAGGTTTGGATATTCAGTTAAAGGGAACTTGGTGGTCGGGACTCTGGCCTGGCCGTCTCCTTGGGTCATTGTGATTGGCTCATTCTTTTCTACATGTGGAGCAGGCCTGCAGTCTCTGACTGGAGCACCGCGACTCCTGCAGGCCATTGCAAAAGACAACATCATCCCTTTCCTCCGGGTGAGAGATGCATATTTTAATTATATGGACTTCAAAATGACAAAACGGTTACAAAACCTTTTATTTATTTATTTATTTTTAGAATAGGACACACATCTTCATTTGTTGGTCACAGTAACTTGCTCTGTTTAGCTTTAATTGAAAATTACCATCCTGTTACCCTTAGCGTCGCTCCCAAACCTTTTTGAGCTGATATTGAGACGCTGTCTCAAGTGGAGGAGTTTTCTGGGTTTTGTTTACGAATGAGGGAAGAATGGAGCGCAAGATCAACAGATGGATCAGCGTAGCTTTTGCAGTATTGTGTACTTCGTGGCGGTCTGTTATGGTGAAGAGGGAGCTGAGCTGCAAGGTTACGCTCTCTGTTTACTGCTCGGTCTACATTCCTTCCCTCACCTATGGTCACAAACTCTTGAGTGGTGACAAAAAGAACGAGACTGCAGGCACCAGTGGAGGAAATGAGTTTTCTCTGCAGTGTGGCTGGACTCCACTCAGCTCTCATCTTATCAGTTCTTCTCTGGTGTATTGTAGGTGATTTGCTGTGGTTGACCTGTTTCCTTGCTCTGTGGGCAGGATCATAACAGGTCATTGTGTTCAAGCCACTCTGCTGGTTGTGGTCCTTAATTGCCCTGTAATCGGACTTCAGTTTCTTTAGTTTATCCCAGCACTGCCTATAAGTCCGGGTGTAGCCATGCTGCACCATCATCTCCAATTTCTCTCTGTTTATATACTCGTTTCTTGTGGCGCTGTCCGTCAACACAATGAGGAAGTGGAAGATGGATGAGGAAGTTGAGACGTCAGTATTTCCCCTAGGCTACTTGGCTTGGCAGAGCGCTCATCTCTTCTGTGATTTTTGTTCAAGGGGGAGACATGTCTGTGTTGTGCTAACAGGACTACGTTAGTGCCGGCAGTTGTCAGGGGAGGGATTGTGTGGCTGAAGGACATTTCAGTAAGCAGGGCGCTCGGGTCTGTTGACAGGGCAGGGTGCACTCCTTGGGTAACGGTAGGGGAAACACTGGAGGTAGTTTGCAGTTTTGCTGTGTGGGTCATCCAGTGATGACGTAGCTCCTCTGGACAATCAACAGCTGCTGTCTGCTTACATCAAAATTGGCCCCTCGGAGCAGCCCACTTGGAACCTCAAACAAGGTGGTCCCATGAATTGGGCTGAGTGGTGGTGGGTACTGGCAGAGGGCAGGCCCTTAACTGGTGTGGTGTAGTGCCAAACCGATGAGAGTTGAGACAGTTGAGAGTTGGAGCGGCTGTGAATGAGTTCTTAGAGCAGTCGTCCTCCAATGCAAGAGTTGGGGGTTCGATTCCACCAGCAGTCACATGCCGAAATGTCCCTGGGCAAGACACTGAAACTCTTGTTGCCTCTGATGTGTGTCCCGTCGGTGTGTGAATGTGATAAATAATAATAATAATAATGTCATCACAATGTCAGCACTGTATGTTTCCATACAATGGCGAAATTAGTCTCTGCATTTAACCCATCCACCACCAGGTGGTGCAGTGGGCAGCTACTGAAAGCGCCCGGGGGACATTTTGGGGATGAGATGTGCTGCCCAGAGACGCCACGTGATGTGCAGTGACTGGGGATCGAACCTGGGACTTCCGGGTCCCAAGCCGGCTGCCCTGCCTCTACACCATCTCCCCAAAGCACTGAGTATTCTCTATATAGTGTTTCTCCTACCATTATAAAAGCGGGGTGCCCCACCCCATCAACAGAACTGAGCACCCCGCCTACCAAACCGAACTTCCCCCCCACACCCGGCACTGACATAGGATTAAGCTAGCGGCGCGAAATACAGGCTCTCTAGCTAAAAAGCTAAAGACAGCACTCATGTTGCCTCTTCTCTCAAGCTGAACGCCCCCCCCCCCCCCCCCCACACACACACACACGAAAACTATCTGTATGAACAGCGCACAACTCAAATGCGTCGTGCTAAGCTAGCAGCGCGCAATATAGGCGCTCTAGCTAAAAAGCTAAACCGCCTCTTCTCTCATGCTGAACACACACACATACACACCCGGCTCAAAAACTGTTGGTACAAGCTGCGCTTAGACGTGTCTCCGTCTCCCCCACCAACAAAAATCATGGATGAGATGAGCACCCCGCCATGGAAAGTTAAATAGGGGAAACACTGCTGTATATAGTAGAGTGCTGTATGAATGAGTGAATGAGGGCACAGATTGTTGTGTAAAGCGCTTTGAGTATCTTCATAAGATAGAAAGGTGCTATATAAATACAGTCCATTTACCATTTACAGTGGCAAAGTACCATAAGAGTAGAGCAGCTGTTCCTCCTTATCGAGAGGAGCCAGTTGCGGTGGAGGAGTCACTATGGAGGTGTTCTGACATGTCCAACTGGGACGAAACCCCAGAGAAGACCCAAGACATGCTGGAGAGACTACATCTCTCTGCTGGCCTGGGCGACAGTGTTGGTTGCCAGTTTTCCTCATATGCCTTCTAACTCATTAAAAGCTTTTTATTGACATACTAACTAAAATAAAACATTTATTTTTTTATTCCTTTGCGTGTTTTCAGAGTCAGAGTCAGAGTTTCTTTATTGTCATTCGCACCTCATGTGGTACATGTGGTGGAGCGAAATTATGTACGCAGGGTCCCAGTTACATCCAACAATAAAATGTATAAGAAAAACAGTAATAACATCTAAGATATGAACTAAGAAAAACATCAACTAAATATACACTAAGCACTCATAACATAAAACATTGAACATCAGCACAAACATGAACATGAGTCTGTGAGCAGATGTGCACGCATGAACACATCAACATTGAAACAGATCAGCAGCAACATGAAACAGATCAGCAGCAACATGATATGGTTTTTCACAGTGATTATTCTAGTTAGAGATTCATGAGTCTAACAGCCTCAGGGTAGAAGCTGTTCCTCAGTCTAGTGGTTCTACACTTAATGCTCCTTAACCTCCTTCCTGAGGGGAGTGGGGCAAAAAGTGTGTGTGCTGGGTGGGTGGGGTCTTTCATGATGCAGGTGGCCCTCTTCCTGCATCTGGAGGTGTAGATGTCTGTGATGGTGGGGAGACTGATTCCAACAGATTTCTGTGCAGCCTTCACCACTCTGCAAAGCTTTTCTTTCTGCAGCTGTGCAGCCTCCATGCCACACATTGATGCTCGAGCACAGGATGCTCTCCACTGCACACCTGTAGAAGGAGGTGAGGACTGAGCTTCCCAGACCAGCTCGCCTCAGCCGTCTGAGGAAGTAGAGTCTCTGATGAGCTTTCTTGATCAGGCTGGTGGTGTTGTTGCTCCAGCTGAGGTTGTCATTCATGTGTACACCCAAGTACTTGTAGCTGGAGACCACTTCCACCGCAGATCCTCTTATGTTCAGGGGGGTGTAGGTGTTTTTGTTCCTTCTGAAGTCCACAATCATCTCCTTTGTCTTCTTCACATTGATGTGAAGGTTATTCTCTCTGCACCAGCTCTTCAGGTGTTCCACCTCCTGCCTGTAGCTGGACTCATCATTGTTTGTGATGCATCCCACCACCGCTGTATCATCTGCAAACTTTACAATGTGACAGCCTGGATGGGTAGCTGCACAATCATATGTGAGCAGAGTAAACAGAAGGGGGCTCAACACACATCCCTGAGGAGAGCCAGTGCTGAGGGTTATGGTGGAGGAGGAGAGGTTGTGGATCCTCACTAACTGTGGTCTGTTTGTTAAAAAGTCTAGTACCCAGTTGCAGATGGAGGGGCTTAGTCCTAGTGTGGATAGTTTGTCCATCAGGGTTTGGGGGATCATGGTGTTGAAGGCGGATGTGAAGTCCACAAAGAGCATACGGACGTAAGAGTTTTTCTGCTCCAGGTGGTTGAGCGCAGTGTGGACCACAGAGGAGATGGCATCCTCTGTTGATCGGTTCTCACGGTATGCGTACTGATGAGGGTCCTCGTTGATGTTGATGGTTGTTTTGATGTGAGTCATGACCAGTTTTTCGAAGCATTTAGCGACTATCGGGGTGAGGGCCACTGGCCGATAGTCATTCAGACCAGTCACTGTAGAGCTTTTTGGGACTGGGATGATGGTGGCAGTCTTCAGGCAGGTGGGAACTGTCTCCAGGGTAAGTGAGGTGTTAAAGATGTCTGCCAGCACCTCACAGAGCTGATCAGCACATTCCTTCAACACTTTTCCGGGGATGTTGTCTGGGCCAGTTGCTTTGTGCGGATTAATCCTCCTGAAGGTACTCCTTACTTCTGCTGAGGTCACGCTGAGATGCTCTTCTTCCGGTGGCGAGGTGAGTCTGGTGCTGGGTGGTCTGTTCGGGTCTTCAAAGCGTGCATAGAACTTATTGAGGGCATCAGGCAGAGATGGGTCTTTGGGACATTTTTCGCTCCTTCCTTTATAATCTGTTATGCACTTAATGCCCCTCCACATGCTCCGAGGGTCCTGTGAGATAAATTGACCCTCGATCCTCTTTGCATATGCGGCCTTGGCCCTCTTAATACCAGCAACCAGCTCTTTTCTTGTCCTACTCAGCTCCTCTGAGTTTCCAGACCTGAAGGCAGTGTTCCTGGCTTCCAGCAGGGTACGCACCTCTGCATTCAGCCAAGGTTTTCTGTTTGGGTAGCTTTTAACATTTCTGATAGTGGAGAC